AATGCAGGTCACCATCTCGCAGCAGCTCGGCCTGGAGCTCAACACCGTCAGCAATTTCTTCATGAACGCCCGGCGCCGCTGCATGAACCGCTGGGCCGAGGAGCCCGGCGCGGCTCCCGGGGGGCCCGCCGGCGCCGCCACCTTCTCCAAGGCCTGAGGCGCCCCAGCTCCCCGCCCTCCCTGCGTCCACCGCCTGGACGCTGCCCTCCCGAACCTCCCATCCAACCCTGCCGGCCGGAGACCCGCCCCGGGGGGCACCTGGAGGGGGTGCAGTCCGGGCCTCCCACACCCAGGGAGGGGACGCTGCACATCCCTCAGCCCAAGTGCACAAAAGGGCCCCCCTCCTCCCTCCATCCCACCCCTCCAGGCCAAAGGAAGCCCTCCACGACCACCCCCAGAGGGTGGGGGTGACAGAAAGGGGCTCCCCAGCTCCCTCTCAATTTAGGATGCGCAGGGGCCTTGGGAAAACCAGGGCTCACCCTGTCCTCCCCGAAAGCGGGTCAAGAAGCACATACTAGAAATATAAACCGGGTATTTAAAAAAAAGAATTTTCAGAATAACCCCTCCTTCGCCAGCCCCAACCCCCCACCCCCTTAGAGGGAGGCAGGAAGAGCCTTCCTCACCGGTCCTCCCGTGGACCCTTCCGGAGAACTCGGCCCCTTCTAAAGTCGCCACGTCCAGCGAGATCCCTATAGTGCCCCCACCCAACACCAAGACAAACCCCATTAGCTCGCAGAACTGCCCCCACAGCCAAGAACCCAGCTGCTCCTCCTAGCGGCAGCCAGGATTCCTTGTGCCAAGAATTGCCTGCCTTAACGTCTGGGGAGGGGGCCTGCAGCAGCGACTGCCCAGCACCCAGAGGCGAGCACCCTCTCCCACCCCATCCCAGATTGGAGGGATGGCATACTCATGCCGATAAACTCCAGATGCTTCCCCTCCCTCTGCACCCTTCTGTCAGTTCACTTTAGCTTTAGGCACCTTGATGAATGAATGCCACACAGGGAGAGACAGACCCCAGGAAACAGAAGAAGACATCCAGATTCCACAGAGAATTCCATGGACACAGAGAGAGCACTGGATCTGGGGTCATGGTGTTCCTATCTGCTTGGAACCCTCTGGAAGTCATTCACCACCTCTCAGTGCTTGGTTTGCTGCACTGGGTCTGTAAGGGTGACAGGGGTGAACCTGCGCTTGCCATGTCTCTCTCCACAGAGAAGAAGGTGGAATCTGCTTGCTCTGTTTTTTGCCAAAAAAAAAATTGACAAGGGGGTAGGAAGGGACAGAAGTGAAGATGAGCACCTCCCACCTCCCCTGCTCATCTGGTCCAGGTGACCTCCAAGACTGGCCTGCAGCTGGATCCTAAGAGCCTACCTCCTCCGGGTTCATGATCTAGAGGCTAGAAGGAACCTCCCCCAAACCCGGTCCTCTTTGCTGCTTCCCAGGGAGGTGGCCACTGCCCCCTTGAGAATGCAAGAGACATTTCTAGTGAAATGCCCCTCCCCCTCCCCCAGGTAAAGGCTACCTCACTCAAACGTTCATGTCTGTGATTGGAAAAATCACGCCTGATACCAAAGATTTCCCCCCAAGGACTGTGCTGGTTGCTATAATTCCCTCGAGTTCGCCTCCGACTGTGCTCAAGGGCCTGCCCTGGGCCCTGCCCTCTAGGTACCGACACCCCCACCAGAGAAAGAAAGAGAGAGAGGGAGGATAGTGAGGTCGATGAGTGCCTTTTTCTTGAACCAAAGATGTGTGTGAAATGTTCTCTTGTCCTTATCGACTCGCTATTGTCCGGGCTTTTTAAGCAACTGGATCTGAGTGATGCTTCTAAAACCTTTGGGTGTTGGAGCATTATCCTAAGAGTCCCCATTCTGGCTCAGCAACCAACTCCTTCCCCCAAACACAGGTGGACATAACCCCTTTTACCCACACCCAACTCCTCCACACTCCCACACCCACTAACACTTGGGCCCCACTGGCCAGAGCAACTGATTTCAGGGGACACAGCTTCTTGGACACCCTCTGCTGGGCAAGCCACTTGCTCTTCCCGGCATTCGAGGCCCAAGGATAAGAGGCCAGGAGCCTCCTGCTGGAAATTTAGAAATTGTCTTGGGATCCTTCTGGTTGTAGAACATTCTAGTTATGGTGAACTGTGGTCAGATCAGGTCAAGCCCCATTGACACAGGTCACAGAAGCATCCTCCCATTCCTGGTTCCCTTTCTAATACTTTCATATCACATATGTGCACACGTGCACACACACCAGCTCCTACACCCCTTCCCCCAGTTGGCCAATCCCCCTCCAGCAGGCCATTCTCCATCCTCTCCCAGAGCCCCCTTGGGTCCCTCCTGTCGCCAACACCCAGCTGGTCATCACAAACCAAAGACCATTCTCCACACAGGGAACAACACCTCCAGCACAGCTCCTTCGAGCCTTTGACAATTTTCTCTGAAATACCTCAAAATATTTAATGTATAGTTTATGTGATTAAAAAAAAATCCTTAGCTAGTTTTGGGAATACGTGACTTGAAGCTTTATACCGTTAAATTATAATTTTGCAGATGATGGTATGTCATTTCTTTGACGAGTTCTGTGGGAGACATATTGAATGTCGGGGCAGCGAAAGCTGGGTGGTCAGAGGAGAAAGACAGAGGGAGCGCGAGCGAGAGACTGAGCTCAAAGGACCAAAGGACCAGGCGTTTACAGATTTCTTATTTAAACGAGTCCTTTAGAAAAGAGAGGAAGAGAGAGAGAGAGAAAGAGAGGGATACTTTTGTGTTCTCTGGTGTGTTCTGTTTCTTGTTTTTGGTGTCATGTCTTATAAGAGTATTTATTATTCTATGTGGTCTGTGTTCAAATGTAATTTAAGAAAAAAAAAAGGAAGAAAATGGAAAAAAAGACACAATGGAATTTGATTTGATGCATGACTAATGTACTCTTTCTTGATAATGTACTAAGTGGAGGGGGTGGGGGGTGGGGACGGGCGCGGGGCCCCGGAGTCCATGTGCATCCTTGTGTTTTGTGCCTGAGCTGTGCTGTTTGGGCCCCTTTGCACTGCTCTCTGTTCATTTCTCCCTTTCCAGCTGGCAGGAGGTGGGAAGGAAAGAAGGAGAAGGCAGACAGCAGGGCTTAAGCACCCAGACCAGGTTCCCACTTCCTGGCACCCACATGCCACCCACCTGTGCCTGCTGAGTCTTCTATTGCTGGTTCTTGGGCGCAGGTGGCTGTCACTGCCATCTTGGACCCCCGTTGGTTTCACATTAGCATGAGTTCCCAAGTGTCTTGTTCAGAGGAGAGAGACAATCAATTCGAGTCTTGTCGCCCAGGGTGGTGTGAGGCTGGTGTGTATCCCAACTTTCTGAGATCCTAAGAACCCTCCTGAGACACCTCCCCACCCCCATCCCAAGGACCCAGGACAGGCACCCGGCCAGGCTCCACCCAGACACCCTTAGCCTCCTCAGCTCTAGGCTGGGCCTGAGTACACCTTTCTGTCTGGCCTGGGAGGTGGGGAGAGGCATTTCTGTGGAGTCTTCTTTCCAGCCTATGTTGGGACCCTACACAACAGAGGCATCCCCAAAATCATGAAGGGGGACCCTGGGAGAGTCTCCATGCCTATAACTCCACTCCTGACACCAGGCCCCACACTCCAACCAGGAGAGCCCACCTTCCAGGACAGGGCCCAGGAAGGGGGCCCCTCACACCCTGAAGGACAGAAAGCCTCAGTTTGGAGGATCAACCCACCCAAAATGAGGGTGGGGTGGTGCATGCCCCAGGGCCACTGCCACTCAGCTCCTGCATCAGCTGGAATTTTGGCCATTTCACGTTCTCTGCCTCAAGCAGTTTAAGCCACACCAGCCCATCAGATCCTTGGGCTCCTCCTTGTGGCCCCAGCAGACCACCCCGGCCCATCCCAAGGGTTGGTCTTTGGGTGGATTCCCTCCACCAGGGGTGAGGGAGAGCCCTGAGTGTTTAACCAAGACTGGACACTAGAGATGTTTTCAGGGGAGATACTACTGGGGTCATCCAAAGTTCCTCCCAATGCTAGAGGGAACAGGAGCCCTCTTCACCCCACCCTCAGGCGACAGGCTTAAAAGTTAAAGAATCATCGTCATTGTCAACCATTGCTCTGCTGGATTTGTTGTTTTGTTTTCCTCCAATAAATTATTTTCTAGCCACTCACCTGGGCGTGTGTGTTGGCCGACAGTGGGGATTGGTCAACAATGGAGGTGGGTGTAGGGGGGAGGTGCAAGAGGGGGAGGAATGGGGCTCACCCACCACAAAAATGGGGAGGGACAGAGGGGACAAAGGAGGAGGAAGTCTGCCTCACCCAGCCCAGCCCTATTGGCTCCAAACCCTGCCCTCTTCTATGGCCACAGTTGTCCCTGAGCCCCCACCCTCACAGGGCTCCCTTCTGTGGGAACCATTAAGAATCAGAGAAAAACTCACAGCCTTTGAGCCAACCAAGCCCAACAACAAAGATCCTGTTCGGACTTGAGTCTGAGGCATCACTGCCCATTGCTTTCTGGACCCTGCAGTGTAAGGTGGTTTATTTGAAGGGAAGAAGCCAGGACAGCTTGGTGGGGGAATAGGCTGGGTTGGTTCCAGAACTGGACCTTATCAATTGCCCTAGGAGGGGCCAGCAGGCAGCAGCCAAAGAACCAGGACTGGTAAGCAGAATCTGCTCAGCACATTTCTCCCTTCTGAGAGCAATAAAGTTTTATCCACATTATTTACCCCAGGGTGAAGAAGGAAGAATAAACAAATAAATAAGACAAGCTTTCCCTGCAAATTGCTCATCCAGCCACTAGAGGTGAGTGTTTTGATTTTTAAAACCAGGAAAAACTTCTAGGATGTATCACAGAAAGAAGCATAGGAAAAGAGTGAGCTCAAGGAGCCCTGGGGTCAGACGGACCCTGGTTTATTAGAAAAAGAAACGGGTGTGAAGCCCTTGTCATCAGGGAATGCCTCGTGCTTGCTGGCTGACATTTCCTGAGCCCAGGCAATTACTGTTCCTCCCAAAGCAGAGGTGGCTGCCCCGCCAGAGCAGGTAGAACTTGGTTCCCACCAGGCACTGGTAGCCTCTCAGAGGGTGAGGGCTCCACCTCCATAGGCTCTTTATTTGTGGCTGATTCTCCCTTCTCCTCCAGGGATTCTGGCTGGTTCCCTAAAGATGACTGGCCAGAAGGCAGTGGCTGGTTCCCAAAAAGTGGTATCTGGCTTTCTCTGGGTGAGGGTGACCTCTCCTTGGTTGGCGGCAGATTCTCAGGAGAATATGGCCTTGCCTGCTTCATTGGCAATTTCTCGTGGAAAGACCCAGACTTCCAGTTTGTGGAGGGAGCCATATTTTTGGTGAAAGACAATTGCCCCTCCACACTAATGGAGGAGTTCATCGTGAAGGTGGGCTGCATGTCCTTGGAAGACACCTTCCCCCAGCTCTGGTGCCTCTTCTTCCCCAGGAGCGACATCTTCTTCTGGTATGAGGGTGACTCCCTGATGCTTGGGGCCAATTCTTCATTAGATGGGATTGTGTGATCAGCCGGAGTGTCGCTGTTGACCCCTGGTGACCTCCACAAAATGGTGCCCTGCGTGATAAGGTCTGCATAGCCTTCCCGGTGGGAGAAGGCATAGCTGGAGCGCCGGGCACGTGACCCCCGGCATAGGTAGGGCAGAGACTCCACAGCAACCTCCTTAGTCGGGGCCTCCTCTTCTCCCTGCACAGCAAAAGGGCAAGCAAGGGTCATCGGGCTCCCCCACTGTGCTGAATGTGCAGTGGGGACCCCAGCCACCCTCACCTTGGCGTGTGGCTTCTTGAGGGCTTGGTAAATGACACGCAAGGCCAGCACAGGCAGGGTGTTTAATGACACATTCAGCAGAACCACCAGCAGGATGGAGGGATGGGACAGCACATTTCGGTCAGCATCTGGCAACAGGGGAGGGTCACAGGCTGGCCCAGGGTGGAGCCTCCCCAGAGCCTGTTGCGTGCCCCTCTTCCAGACACCCCACCTCCTTCCTCACCCTTCACCCCCAGGATGCCTTTGTGCAAATTCCCTAAAGACACAGGTCCTACCAATCTCCAGGACTGCCACCCTATTCCCTGCTGGGGGTGCTCACGCAGAAATGGGAAGGTCTTGGGGGAGATAGTGAAGAGCCAGAAGCTCTGGCTGGCCCAACTTATGACCATGTAGAAGCAGAGGCTGAAGAAAATGGCCAGCACGGACAGGACTGTCCAGTACTTGATGATGAGGATGACCTGAATTGGAAAAGAAGGTTAAGCCACGAGGGCCAGAACCCCAGGCAAGGTTACCTAGAGGAAGGTGGGGGCCAAGCCCCCAGGTTCAAAGGGCACCTGATAAGGCCTTTCAGGAAAGGTCACTGGGTGATGAGACCTGCATGGCCTGTGTCTAAGGTCCCACTGGGGGTGGGGTGGGCAGCAGCCCTGCCTACCTCCACGGTGATGGATAGCAGACCCGACAAGGCCACGACCACTGCAAAAGACTGATAGTCACTGAGGGGCCCAGCTGTATCATGACTTATCCACAGGGTCATGAAGAAGTTGACCAAAGAGGTGGCCATGCCATGGGCAATGGCTTGGAGGAAGATCCAGTAGTTGAAGAGCTCGTCCTTCTGGCCGGCAATGTACAGCTGGGGCAGCTCCAGGCTCTGCTCAGCACTCACATCCTGGGGTGGAGGGTAGGGGGTTCTGGAGGTTGGTTGCACAGCAACATGCACGTGCTGGGCTATTCTTGGCATGCCTGAATCATGCACGTAAGAATGGTGAATTTTGTTATAAAACTTTTTCAAAAAATGAAATGAAAAGTCTCATTCCTCAGATCACACCAGGCACGCCTCAAGTGTTCATCATTAGCTGGTGGCTGCCATTTGGATAGCATAGGCAAGAGACACTTCCATTATCCTAAACACTCTACTGGACCACCCTATTCTGGATCACTTAGCCAGACACTCTTGAGGAAGGGAGCAGGGTAAACAGGAAAACCATCTTTTCTGACCCCCTCCCCACTGTTGTACAGATGGGAAGACAGTGGGACTGAGATTTGGGGGTGGTCCCACAAAGGGTGAGGGTAGCTGGGTAAAAGGGTTTCACCTAGTATCAGGTTGGGCTCTGGTGGGAACAGTTACATGGTTGTGATCTTGGAGCCCTGCTCCCATCCCCCCCAGCCTCCCCCAGGAGGAGAAGGTGTGGCAGAGACAGGAGCATCTACAGGGAAGGAGGAGGTAAGCCTTCAGCCTGCTCACCTGCTCAAAGAGCCCAATGTACAGAACTGGGAGGGTGGTGTAGAGCAGGTTGAAAAGCACCAGGAACCAGCCTTCATACAGAGGCTATGGAGGGGGAGGAATGGGAGAAAGTTGTTAGTGGTCAGCCTTCAGATGCCAAATGTCCAGAAACGAATATGCTCTTTACCTAAGGAGACCCATCCAAGGTAGTTTTGCACCTGGGGAGGATTCCAGGTGAGTTAGAAAATTGCGTTATAATCAAGGATTGGGTTAAGTGCGGCTGGAAGATAAAAGGCAAACGGGAAAAGCAGGGTCTAATTCTTTTAAAACAGCACTTTTGAATATTTCCTTTAATTGGAGGGCTTCAATAAAGAGCTGCAGAAGGAAAAATGGCTAGAGAATGTGGGTTGTGGTCATTTTAGATTTAAGGAGTCACAGATGGGTGGGTAAAAGAGTTGAAGACCCTAGCCGGTTTTGCTCAGTGGTTAGAGCATCGGCCCATGGACTGAAGAGTCCTGGGTTCCATTCCAGCCAAGGGCACATACCTCAGTTGCAGGCTCAATCCCCGGCCCTGGTCATAGCATGTACAGGAAGGCAATCAATAGATGTGTCTCTCTTATCAATGTTTCTCTCTCTCTCCCTTCCACTCTCTCTGAAAAGCAATGGGAAAAATATCCTCAGGTGAGGATTTTTTAAATTAATTATTTTTAAAAAGAATTGGAAGAGATCCCACAGACAATGAGCCCAATTCCCAACTTCCTTTCCAATGCATGAATCCAATCCAGTTAAAGGATGTGGGTTGCAGTTCCAAAAACCATTTTATGTGCATTCTGCGAGTGAGCAAATAAGTAATGATCAATAATTTTACAAGAATCAAGTTTCTCACTGCAGGAGAAGGGTCATAAATCAGTACCTGGAAAAGGCTAAGGTGAGCTTTGTTCTGTGGGACTGGAATCAGAGGTATCAGTGTGAATGCATAGTTTTTTAATACCCACAAGATAGATGATAAATAGAGCAACAGATAGATATCTAAATAGAAATAGGCATAGAGATGTGCATCTATCCATGGGTTAATATGCGTACATTTCCTAGCTCTGTCTGCTGAGAGGGTAATAGAACCCAGAAGCAATGAGCACACCAAGCACTTAGCTCTTGGTGTCTAACCACCATTCTCTAATGAAAAGAACTGGGCTCCTTATGAGAGTGGCTGATTCCAGGGTTGGGGCAAAGGAAAAATAAAATGAGCTTGGAACCTCTTGCAGTGCCAGAAAGTGAAGATGTGCTCGGGGAAAAGCAGGACCACGTCAAAAGGACAAATCAGGGATAAATGGAGCAATGAATTATACAATCAAATAAATATCCATGGGTCCATACTGATAAAAATGAGTAATTTCATAAATAAATGAGGGAGAAGAAATGGTTGATTCTTCCTACAGAAGAATTCTAGTCAACAAATGTAAAAAGATAGAACACTGTCCTCACTAAGATCAGGAACAAGACAAGAATGCCAGCCCTCACCATCTCCCTGGGAGTTCTAGCCAGAGCAATTAGGTAAGGAAAGGGAATAAAAGGCATCCAAATTGGAGAGGAAGAAGGAAAACTATCTCTATTTTCAGATGACATGCAGAAAATCCTAAAGATTTCACCAGAAATCTCCTAGAGCCAATAAAGGAATTCAACAAATTTGTAGGGCACAGATCAACATACAAAAAATAAATAAAAAATTAAAAAAATCTGTGCCTGGCTGGTGTGGCTCAGCGGTTGAGTGTCGACCCAGGACCAAGAGGTCACCGGTTCCATTCCCAATCAGGGCACATGCCTGGGTTGCAGGATCGATCCTCAGGAGGGCACATGCAGGAGGCAGCCGATCAATGATGTTTCTCTCTATCCCTCTCCCTTCCTCTCTCTCTAAAAATCAATAAAAATATATTTTAAAACAAAAACAAAAAAAACCATCTGCATTTCTACACACCAGCAATGAGCAATTCCAAAAGAGAATTAAGAAAACAATTCCATGTACAGTATTAGCTAAAAGAATAAAATATCTAGAAACAAAAAATATATACTTATCAAAGGTGTCTCTGTAAATCTCCCTCTCAAATGCCTGGGTATCAATGACGGGGAGCTTATTCCCTGTCATGGCTGTCTATTTTTGGATAATTTCCTTACTCCTAGGGGAAATCATCACTCTATGACTCTTCTAAGGCTCCAGAAGGCACATCTATTCCTCACCATGGTACTGTTGAGAGTCTTGAAGCCAGGGAACCCAGCCCCCCCAGTCTTATCTTCTCTGGGTTTCAAGCTTTTCCTTTCTCCCCTAGAAAGATCTACCTTTGGAGTATCTGCCCTGCCCTGGTTTCAAAGCTCAAATCTGCCAAATATCCCTCAAAATGTTGGGCACAGAGCTGGGTAGGAACTATCCCCTCCCTTTATCTGGACTCTATACCTCTATGAATACAGCCATAGAAAATGTTGCATTGCCCTGTGACCTCAGGCAAGCCCTGTTCCATGAGGACCCCAGAGTGTGAGTGTGCCTGCTGCCCTCCTGTAGGTCATGAGAAGGGGACAATACCCCTAGGGAATCTTCAAAAGGCTGTTCCCTCCAGCGCACCTGCGCAGTGAAGCCACTGTAGAAAGCGAACCAGATCTGAACCATCATGCTGGCCAGTGTCTTGTAGATGAAGTAGCGTAGGAACTTGCAGATTCGCATGTAGGACCAACGCCCATGCACCAGCAGCAACCGCCTCAGGAAACAGAACTGGGCCAGCATGTAGTCACTGCTCTGCACCACCTGCATGCCCTCCTGGCCCGCCAGCCCTACGCCAATGTCCGCAGCTGCAGGAGCACATGCAGCCTGTTGGCCCTGGGCCACCCCCACCCTCCACAGGCCTCCCCCAGGCCGGGGCCCACCACCCACTCTTGATCATGTTGATGTCATTGGCACCATCCCCGATGGCCAGGGTCACCACGTTCTTGTATTTCTTGACCAGTGCCACAATCAAGGCCTTCTGCTTGGGTGTCACCCTGCAGCAGATGACTGCTTGGCATCTCGAGGTCAGTTCCACGAAGGCCCGCTCTCGCCGCACCTCGGGGCTCTCCTGGGTGTTGGAGTGCTTGTTCTGCGGCACCAACCCTGGGCTCCTCAGCTGGATCCCAAGGGTCTGCCGCATCAGAGAGATGCGCCTGGCCTGCAGGAAGTCTATCCTCTGCTCACCTGGCTCCTGCCAGGACTCCTCCACGTCCACGTTCACATTTTGGACCAATGCCCTGGATTCCTTGCTCACGGACAGCAGCAGCTGGTCCTGGCCAGCGAAGGGGGGGAACGGGGTGCATCACTCTGCCTACACCCCTCCTCTTTGTGAATACCCCCAGCTGGCCGTTCCTCCTGCCTCCTGACCCGACCCCAGACTGGACTTGAACTCAAGGCTCCAGTCCCTCTGAGAATCATCTATTGGTGTAGCATTCACTTTGGCTTTTCCAACAGTCCACCCCCACCCCGTCTGCTGCTCCTCCCAGCCCCACAGTCAGCCCTGAGCGGACACTGACCAGGAACTCTCCGTTAATGACCATGGCCATTTTGACCTGTGGCAGGAACCGGTTCTTCAGAGACCCCGAGCCACTCGGCAGGTGGTTGTCACTCTCCCAGGAGGCCTCCAGGATCCTACTGCAGGGACCCAGCTGGAGCTCAGCCACGCCCCGGCACAAGCTTCCCTCCATCCCCTCCCCAACTATGCCTCAGTTTCTCCCTCTGGGAGTCCAGCCAGGTGGAGGTTGAGGACGTTCTGCAGACCCCCAGGGCCACATCTGAGCCATGGGTGTCCCCCATCCCCCACCCTCACCCTG